CTTGCAATCCTACTAGCATAATCTGTTTATTACAATTGCTTTTCAAATAGTTCAAATATTTACTCCCGCCTCCTTCATCTTCTTTTGGGGAGATTGTGTGCCTTGCAGCAAGAAACCTGCCGGCCGCCATACAGCTGAGGGAGAGCTGGCGGGCAGATCATTTTGACAGCAGGAAGCCTGCGTGTGCCAAAGCAACAGCATCTCTCACAGCCGTTGACTGCTGCACAGCATTTTGTCATCCCCCTCGGAGGTGGCACCCGGGGCGCACCGCACCCACCTTGCAACACCTCTGCTTCGTATTGCAGGGGGTTGCACAAGATGATCCTCAGGGTCCCTTACAACTCTACAATTCTATTATTTATACCCTGCCTCCCGCCCCCCCAGAAGCTCAAGGAGGCGTATGTGGTTCTCCTCAGAGAGCCAGTGTGGTGTAGTGGTTAAGAGCGGAAGACTCGTAATCTGGTGAACTGGGTTCGCGTCTCCGATCCTCCAAATGCAGCTGCTGGGTGACCTTGGGCTAGTCACACTTCTCTGAAGTCTCTCGGCCCCACTCACCTCCCAGAGTGTTTGTTGTGGGGGAGGAAGGGAAAGGAGAATGTTAGACTCTTTGAGACTCCTTCGGGTAGTGATAAAGCGGGGTATCAAATCCAAACTCCTCCTCCTCCTCCTCTTCTTCTTCTTCTTCCTCTTCTTCTTCTTCTCATTTAATCCCCACAAACAACCCTGTGATGTGAGTCAGGTGAAGAGGCAGCAACTGACCCATGGTCACCCAGTGTGCTATATCATGGCTGAGTGGGGGATTTGAACTGTGGTCTCCCAGGGCCTGGTTTGGCGTTCTGAGCACTCCACCACACTGGCACCGATGCTGCCCTGTGGGCCCCCCCACCAAGAAACCTGAATCTACTTGGTAGTTGTAGTGCAATGATCTGTGTTTGCACTCACCTTTTAGAAGGCTCTCTAGCTATTTAGTGTCTGTAGCAACTCATTGTTCTAGCTCAGGGTTTCACAGACTTGGGTCTCCAGTTGTTGGACTACGACTCCCATCAACCCTAGCTAGCAGGACCAGTGGTCAGGAATGATGGGAGCCCTTCTCTAGCTTAATTACAAAACAGTTACTTAACAGACCTGGCTAGGCTATTTACTTAAGAAAGGACGTGTTTTGATAATTTTTGTGGTCCTCGTTTCCTACAGAATCCCATCTTGCCGCTTTAAAATCACAGGACTGGAGGTGACCACAAAACCCCATCTAGTCTAATCCCAGGCTCATTACATTGTGGTGCGCAAGCTGAGATTCTTCCTCAGTACTAATAAGCATGGGACTGCCACAATGGTTTTCTTTGCCCATAGCGGAACAAATCTGAAAGGAAGCTGGTGCAATGTTTAAGCAGCATTTGAATCCATCATGTAGATGCTACGGTGGAATAATTGGCTGCATTGTGGTTTCAGGAGTAGAATTAGGGTGCAATGAAAGGGGTTTTTTTGCAGATGGAGACTGTCAGCTGTGTCCGTTCTTGTTCCACAGGCCACGATTGCTGCGAGACAGTGAAAGTCTCTCTCTGCGCTGCCAAGCAAGGCTCCCCTCTCTTGGTGGTGGCAGAGGACAGCCTGCAGTTTGTTCAGGATGAAGCTTATGACGCAGCTCAGTTCTTGGCAACCTGCGCTGGCAACCAGCAGGCTCTGAACTTCACAAGGTTCCTGGACAAGTCCAGGCCGCCGGCTGGGGATGTGGACTTCCTGGATGAGAAAGTGGCTTTGGCGTTTCGTCATCTGAAATTGCCGGCTGGATGGAATGTGCTGGGAGCAGACCACACTGCAAATGGTAAGATGGTTTGTCGAAATCCTTTTATATCCATGTTGCCAAATTAAATGGAACTGAATCAAAAGGTAGAGCGGAAAATCTAAATTAAAATACCTGAATGAGTTTTGGACACTAATATTTGAATGGGACTTTGATATTGGGTTTTTAAAAAAACTTTTTATTTCAGTTTTCTTGCAAATGATTCCATTCAGTTGCCTCTTTCTTTCTGTGACTTGTGGAAAATGTCTTCAGGGGTGAATTGGGATTGTGACCTCTGTGCTGTTTCCCCTCCTTTTGAATATGTGGGGAATCTTCAGGTTACTATGGGATGCTCTTAAATGGTGGTTGATTCTTTGCCTGGCTGTTTCCCCTTCCACCCCCCTGTGGCCGCTGCTCACGAGTTACTGTATAGTAACCACCATTTGTTCTTTATGCAAACAAGGAAAACATGAGGAAAGCAGCCGCGGTTGAACCAGCAATTGTTTCTGAGTGGTCACAATGTTTGCATTCAGTGGGCTTTCTTGAAACTGAAGCCCAACCACTCTGCATGCCATGACGTGCTTGCACTACATAATCAACCACCCATGAGTGCTCCACATCCTCTCATTCATTCTTCAAACTTGAGAAGAGAGGAGGCTGCTTTCTATTGGGCCAGACCAATAGCTCAGTATTATCTGTTTTGACTGGCAGCTGCTCTCCAAGGTTTCAGGCAGGGGTCTTTCACCAGCCCTACCAGGGGGTGCTAGGATTGAACTTTGGACCTTTGGCATACATAGCAGATGCTCTATCTCTGAGCCACAGCTCTTTCCTGTAAAACCTCCAATTGCCAGGAAGCTCTACCTCAAGGAGCTCTTGCAACATATGATAAGGCTATCAACGGCTACTAGCTATGCTCTGCCTCCACATTCAGGGGCAGAAATTATTCTCCCTCTCACTCAACACTTAAAGGTAAAGGGACCCCTGACCATTAGGTCCAGTCGTGGCCGACTCTGGGGTTGCGGCACTCATCTCGCTTTATTGGCCGAGGGAGCCGGCGTACAGCTTCTGAGTCATGTGGCCAGCATGACTAAGCCGCTTCTGGTGAACCAGAGCAGTGCACGGAAACACCGTTTACCTTCCTGCCGGAGCGATACCTATTTATCTACTTGCACTTTGATGTGCTTTCGAACTGCTAGGTTGGCAGGAGCAGGGACCGAGCAACAGAAGCTCACCCCGTCGTGGGCGAAGAGGGACTGACTACTTAACCACTCTGAGAACTATATGCATAGAGAGAAAAGGCACCAACATTTCTGGTTTTCTGTTCTGATATGTTCTGCACTTCAGTACCTTGGTTTTTTGTGTGTGAGAGGTGCTGTTTGGAGACATAAGTATGGGTGTTTGGAGAATGAGGTACATGTATGAGATTATGGGAGTATGTGTGCATTTATCTTACTGTTCTCCCTAAATAAACATTCCCTCCCACTCAACACTTAAGAAATAGGGGGGAGGAAGTGGTTTTAGCTGGAATAAGCAGAGGTCAGACAGGCTGGAAAACCAACTAACCAATTCCACTTCTGGCCCAGCAATGTGGTTGTTGGTGGGTGAAATAAGGTACAGCCAGGGGCAAAATATTCCAAAGCTAACATCCAACACAAGAACATACTTTTGTTTTCCATCTAAATGCTTTTTGGAAAACTGCAGGTTTTTGTTTGTTTGTTTGTTTAAAGTGGTAACAAGTGGCGTGCTCCCTCTGACACTGGGTGCCATGCAAAGCAATCCTGGCTAGCAGTCATTGAATTTGACTTTTGAAGCCATCTAAGCTGTTGGCCATCCCCTCTTCTGGTGGAAGTGGGCTTCCAATAGACTGGAGACGGGGCTTGAAAGAGTCCTGCAATTTCCATACACCTGGGCTTTAGGCTTGGCATTGATAGTTGCACCCCCCATGCCACATAACAAAAGATTTTTCAGACATACGGCGGGGTGGAGGGGCTTCCCAAAGCAATGTGTGATCCAGCTGTTCTGCTGCTCAAGAGCCAAAAATCAAGAGCTCAAGAGCATGTCAAAGCCAATGGGCTGCATCCAAGTTACAGTAGACACATTGAAATGAATGGACCTAAATTAAGCCACGTTGCTTTATTTCTTTAGGTGGAATTCAGTGTCACAGTAAAAACACATACACACTAAGGAGATCATTCCATCAGCATAAGCATTTCTGCTCACCAGACAAAACAACCTCCCCTCTTTCAGAGGCAGACAGATGCTTCTGAACACCAGTTGCTGAAAACTGCAGGAGAAAACTCTTGTGCTCAGAGGTCCTGCTTGAGGGTTTATTCCTCAGGCATCTGGTTGGCCATTGTGAGAACAGGATGCTGGGATACATGGGCCATTGGCCTGATCCAGCAGGCTCTTCTTATGCTCACGAGATCCCTGTGTGGTGCAGAAGGGTCCTGGGTATGTTTGTGGGCCTGCACTCAATCCATGTTTGTTGTGGATATAAAAGGAGAGGGAGGACCATGAGCACTACTTTGAGCTCCTTGGGGGCGGGGGATAAATGCAAGCAGAAAGAAATGGCATAAGAAGGGTGCAGAAAGCCCCAAGAAGAGAAAATTAGCTACATGGGGAAATTGCACATAAAATTCGTGTGGGGGAGCCATGTTTGCTGTAGGTTAAGCTGATGGTATCTGGAAAGACTTGCCCGGTGACCAGGCAACTCTTTGAGAAAGTGAGCTGCAAAGGTTATATTGGAACATGATCAGAAAGGCTGGAAATGAGCCACCGAAAGGATCTGCTCTGGTTCCTGAGAATTAGAAAGGATTTTGGAAGTTAATCCCGGAGTTAAATGCCACCAGAAAGCTGATTCTGTGCCTGTGGATTTCTTCATCCCTTGTGTTGTGAAAAAAGTGATTTTGCATGTAGAACGTTGCCACCTGCAGTTCAGAGCTGCTGATGGAGGCAGGACAGGGCCGGCCCTCCCATGAGACAAGGTGAGGCGACCACCTCGGGTGGCAGGACCCACCAGGGCAGCAGAGGCGGCCCCCAAGCAACACATTGCATGCAGATCTTCAGCCCCCCCCCCACATTCCTGATGTAGAGTTTCACTTTCCACTTCTTCCCTGGCTTGGTGTGTGTGTGTGTGTGTGTGTGTGTGTGTGTGTGTGTACCATTTCGTGGCTTGCCTTGGGTGCCAAAATTCATTGAGCTGACCCTGAGGCAGGATATGGAAGGAGTAGCTTAGTGGTAGAGCATCTGCTTTGCACGCAAAAGGCCCTAGGTTTGGACCTCAGCATCTCCAGCCAGGACAGGAACAGATTACCTGTCTTCAAATTAATATTGCCTCTGAACAAGATCAATTGCGTTCCTTTCTCTGAACGGTTCCAGGTGTGTTTGAAACCTGCTACCAAGCGCACAAGGTGTTGATTCCTTGTTCGGCTCTTATCGGGGTGAGGCTGCAGTGGCTTCCTGCCAAGTTTAATTCAAATATGCTTGGGGAGGCGTGCCAGGACCCAGGAACCTTTTTTGGCTTGTGAGCACAGGTTAAGAAGCCCAAGTGCTTTTGAGTCACACAGCAAATTCTGTTTGACTCAGAGCACTGAAACAAGGTCCTTATGTTCTGACGATGTGTATGCCAAAGTGTTTGCCAAATTTAGGAGCTGGTGAAATGTTCCGGGAGCCCAGGTAGCAGGAGAGATATTATTCCTGACCTCAGTGGCAACCTAGATCTTGTTTAGATGTCCTTATCAACCAGGTGTCTGTAGTGGTTGCTGGTGCCAATTGGGGCTGGTGGGGCAGAAGGCAGGGATCCCAACTGTATGTGAAGCTGCAGCAAATGACAGGCAATACCAACTGATTCTGGATTTGTCCCTGAGTTATACAAGGGGCAATACTGAGGGGCAATACTGGAGTGGCTGTAAGCAAGGAGGCAGTCAGGCAGCTGGGGGCTGGCTGAGGTTTTTTGGGGGGCAGTACCCTGTTCGCCTGAATGGGACAGCCTCCAGGAGCCCAGGAGTTTGTGGCACCCGTGAGGGATGTAGAGCCCAGCTCTCTGAAAATCTCTGTCTTTAACTGTAAAAACATATAAAATTAAAAAATGTCCAGTAGCACCTTAGAGACCAACTAAGTTTGTTCTTGGTATAAGCTTTCGTGTGCATGCATACTGAAAGCTGATACCAAGAACAAACTTAGTTGGTCTCTAAGGTGCTACTGGGCAATTTTATTTTTTATTTTTTTATGTTTCGACTGTGTCAGACCAACACGGCTACCCACCTGAATCTTTAATTGTAAAAACAAAGCAAGCTGCTTCTGGGCCTCATGGTTGTGAGGGTATGTTTAGAAGTAGGACAATAAGCCTTCTAATTATAAGCCTGAAAAAGTTACTAATCTCAAAAAAAATAATAATAATAATTACTGGACTGCTGAGGGATTGCAGAGGTGGGAAAACAAATTTCTGTCCTGCAGGAACTCTCTGTATTTCTACGCCTAGACACAGATGAGGGGCAGAGCACTCCAAACCTCTGCTATATAATTCCTTCTTGCCTATAGGCATTATTTATTTATTAAATTTGTATACTGCCCTTATACCTGTAGATCTCAGGGCAGTTCCAGGTACTAGAAATGGTTGGATTCCAACTCCCATCAGCTTCCATTGAGGGAAAGGTTGCAGAGCTTCAGCCTTACATGCAGAAGGCCAGAAATGTAGCCTCCAGAGGCATTTCCTGGTAGGCCTGGAAATGATTCCCTCCTTTAACCCCCCACCCCCGGAGAGCCTCTGCCATTTAGTGGAGACAATACTGAGCTAGATGGACTAATGATGCAACCAGGGGTTTTTTTTCTAGCCAGAACTCAACTCTGGCACCTCTCAGGTGGGCGCCATTGCTATTATAAGAGAAAAAGGGAGGCGTTCATGGTGAGTTCTTGAACCTCTTTTTCTAGAAAAACAGCACTGGGTGTAACTCACTGTAAGATAGCTTTGTATAGTGGTACCTCGGGTTAAGTACTTAATTCGTTCCGGAGGTCCATTCTTAACCTGAAACTGTTCTTAACCTGAAGCACCACTTTAGCTAATGGGGCCTCCTGCTGCCACCACGCCACTGGAGCACGATTTCTGTTCTTATCTTGAAGCAAAGTTCTTAACCTGAGGTACTATTTCTGGGTTAGCGGAGTTTGTAACCTGAAGCGTATGTAACCTGAAGCGTATGTAACCCGAGGTACCACTGTATGCTGTTATGTTCCTATGATTAGCTATACTTACTTGGTTTGGTGGTATAGAAAGTCCAAGACTTGGAAGGTGCTACCCGTCTTTAGTTTCTTATGTACCTCACCACCCCCTTTCCTGTGTCTACCAAAAAATGATGGAAAATGGTAAGAAGCAGATTTTTAAAATGGCATTTTGGTATATATTTTTTACAGGTCACAGAAGTGAGCACAAGCTTTCCTATTACAGTGGTGCCTTGGTTCTCGAACTTAATCCGTTCCGAGAGTCCGTTCGACTCCCAAAACCGTTCGAAAACCAAGGCACGGCTTCCGATTGGCTGCAGGAGCTTCCTGCACTCAAGCGGAAGCCGCATTGGACATTTGGCTTCCAAAAAACGTTCGCAAACTGCAACACTTACTTCTGGGTTTGCGGCGTTTGGGAGCTGATTTGTTTGGGAGCCAAGTTGTTCAAGAACCAAGGTTCCACTGTATCATCATCATCATCATCGCCAAGTAAACACACGGTCCTGGCTTATACCTGTACACTTGAGACCACAGTTAACTCATTGACAAACTAGAAAGAGTTGTGGTTTTCACTGGAAACTTCTTGTGTGGGTCTCATACCCAACCTGTTTTATATAAACTCATAAATCACTGCTATTATCGCTCAAGGTGCTCTTCCAGAGCTCTTTGCTTGATTGAATTGCTGCAGCTGTGCTCTATCGAGCTATGCGGTAGCAGAAGCAAACATCATTTATAATGCTACCATTATTAATAAAAAATGTCCTCAGGAGTTCTAAATGCAGAGATGATAAATGCTGTGCAATACATTCCACGTAGTGCAGATGAGTTTTTTCAAGTTGGTTACAGACTGAGACAGACAAGATGATTTTATTTGTTTATTGAACGTATTAGTCCCCCCGCCTTTTAAACAAAATGTAACTCAAAGGAATTTACAACAAAAAACAACGCATACGTTAAAACCAGCTTGAAACTAAAATAGAATAAAATCTAAAATTCTATCTATCTATCTATCTATCTATCTATCTATCTATCGAAATGGTAGGACTAAAACATCCTATCAGCTCAGACTTAATTTTATCAAACTATCAGGGGGTGTCTGTCAACCATGGGGAGAGAATATGGTAAGGAACATTCTGTTTCAGACCTCGCTAGGTGTCATCCAGAAGATACATACACATGCTGATAGATTGTGTTGTACACAGAACAGAGGGAGGAGAGTGAAGCAGTGCTTATCCTATAAGTTCTGCCAAGACCAGATGCCTTTGGTCAGGGGTCGGCAACTTGTAGCCCATGGCCCACAAGTGGCCCACAGGGGCAGTTTAACCAGCCCCTGAACCGAGCCGCCCACTTGGCGAGTCCCTGTGCGCTGCGCTAAACTGGCACGGCACGGGGACTCGCTTTCGCAGCGCCAGAAATCGCATCTGCGCATGCCCAGATGCTGGAAATCGCGCACGCATGCGCACTCCGGCCCACAGAGAGATCTCCGCGGGACTTGACTGGCCCAGGCGGTAAAACCTTGCCGACCCCTGCCTTTGGTCATCACTCACCTGTTCGCCTAGTGCTGGCTGTTCCATCTGGCTACCTAAATTGTTTCCATCCCAGCTACTCATTAGACAAACTGGACTGCTGCCCTCCTCATCCCTTTTTCCTTTTGTGCCATATCTTTAAGATAAAAAACCCCCTGATTTTTGCAAGCTTCTGTAGAAGCCTTTTTACCTAAAGCGTATGTTTGTGTGTCCTTAAATAATGTTCCTTTGTGCAGAGAACTGCTTCTGTGATACTCTGCAAAGTGCAGTATAAAAAAAGTAATGAGCAATACAAATGCAGGCAATCCTGTTTCCTTAAAAGCTGCACTGCAAAGTAGGTCTTTCTGCAAACAAACAAGAAGCCCCGCTTTGTTTACATGTCTAGTATTTCCTTTGTGCGAGAGAATTTTGGACTGTTCTTTTCTGTCTCTGGAGTGTTTTCTGCCTGTTGTTCTTGCTACGTCCTGGAAAAATCCAGTGTGTTTAAGTTGCATATTGCCTTTCAGCAATGCCAAAATCCTGATTTATTTGAAATGGGATATGAGAAGGAGAGAGACAGCCTGCTAATGAAGGCAGTAAGCCAGCTTTTCTTTTAAGGTGGTGTAGAAATTCTCTTAGCTACCTACTTGATTTGGGAACAGGACAGTGCTTGGTGGCATTTAAGTGCAGATTGCGTACTGAGTGAGAGGTTGTATTGTATCTTGTTTCAGAGTAGGGTTGGAGAACCTCAGCCCTGGGGGCCAAATTCAAGTCACCCAGCACACAAGGGCCTGCCCCCACCCACCGTGTCTGCATCATCATGGGGGCTGAGCAGGACGCAGTTTGTCACCCACTAACCTGCTGCCCAGGGCACATGCCACTGTTTCCCCCCACCTACCTCAGTTTAGACCCGGTTGGAATCACAGCAGATCTTAAGGCAGGCAGGTATTATGGAAAGCGTTTATTGTGGCGCTGTGGGTTAAACCACAGAGCCTAGAACTTGCCGATCAGAAGGTCGGCGGTTCGTAATCCCTGCGACGGGGTGAGCTCCTGTTGCTCGGTCCCTGCTCCTGCCAACCTAGCAGTTCGAAAGCACGTCAAAGTGCAAGTACATAAATAGGTACCGCTCCAGTGGGAAGGTAAATGGCGTTTGCGTGTGCTGCTCTGGTTCGCCAGAAGCGGCTTAGTCATGCTGGCCACATGACCCGGAAGCTGTACGCCGGCTGCCTCGGCCAATAAAGTGAGATGAGCGCCGCAACCCCTGAGTTGGCCACGACTGGACCTAATGGTCAGGGGTCCCTTTACCTTTACCTTAGGGCTTTTTAGACGAATGTCAACACCTTGAATCAGGCCTGGATGATCAACAACTTCTGAGTTTGAGCCAATAAGCTCTCTGTTATATGTTTCCCAACTGATTTAATTATTAGCTTCTCTTGGCTCACAATGGCACTTTGGCTTTTAATACCAGCCGTTGGACACACACACTCTCTCTCTGTTTGTTTGTGTGTGTGTGTGTGTGTGTGTGTGTGTGTGTGTTATGTGAGAGAAAGAGAGTGCAAATGTTCTATCATTCCACCTCTTTATAGTAATGGAGATTTCTGGAGATGGCATTAAAGCTAAACACGTTTTGTTTCCTTCTGGTTCTTCTTCCTCTCAGAGAATGTTCCCCGGGAGACATTGATGCATTTTGCTGTAAGGCTTGGACTGCTGCGACTTACGTGGTTCCTCTTGCAACAGCCAGGCGGAAGAGGAGCCCTCAGTGTCCCCAACCGTGAAGGAGCCACTCCCGTGAGCTTGGCCTTGGAGAAGGGCTATCAGAAGCTGCATCAACTCCTGACAGAGTAAGGCTGACTTTCTGATTGCCGTGGCGATTTTGTTTATTATACCCTGACGACATACATGAGGGGTTTCTGAGTGGTCTCTCATCCAAGCACTGACCAGACCCATACCTGCTCAGCTTCAGTGAGGTTGTTTTCATTTATTTCATAAAATTGATTGTTTTAAAAAACAACAACCTCAAAGCAGTTTCCTCCCCCCCAAAAAACCCCCACAATGAAATTATCAACAGGAGGACAGTTAAAACATTAAGAAAATAATTAAAATCAATGATAAGCTAAAGCTAGATTAATATGCACCCCAACATTCTGAGTACAGTGAAGATGCCTGCCTGATATCAGTAGGCAGAGCGTTATGAACCATTCCATACTAAAAGACAGGTTTCTTACAAATGCGGAACGAGTAATAGGTGGCACTTGTAACATTGCCAGTTCCCTAGACGGCCTCGGTCCTGTATACCTGAAGGAGCCTCTCCACCCCTATCATCCAGCCCAGACACTGAGGTCCAGCTCCGAGGGCCTTCTGGCAGTTCCCTCCCTGCAAGAAGTGAGATTACAGTGAACCAGGCAGAGGGCCTTCTCGGTAGTGGCACCTGCCCTGTGGAACGCCCTCCCAGCAGATGTCAAGGCAATAAGCAACTATTTTACTTTTA